TATATGACATAATATATCATTTTTTTTCGTCGAGGATCAGACCCAGATGCGTGACTAGAGTGTCATCAGCGTAACAGATTACGCCCAGCCGGGGGGGAAAGCGACATCAAAGGGCCCAGACGTACCCTATGTTGAACAGGAGTGGTCCGAGAACTGATCCCTGTAGAACACCGCACAACACGGGCTGACGACACAAAGCACCATTTCGGTCCTCGTACATGACGGTACGCTCCTCTAAATAGTCTGCTACTAGCCGCCTCAGGTACTCTGGCACCTCGTGGTGTTGGAGTGCTTCCCTGATGCAGCTGACTTTTGAATGCGTGGGCGATGTCCAACGACACCGCCAACAGCACGCCGCCACGTCTCACCGCCTCTTTGGTCACGGACACAACACAGCGTCGATCGTCGAACGCCCCGCTCGAAATGCCTAAGACGGCCTTGAGTCAGGCAAACAAAGTAAAATCTACTTTACAAAGCACTCGATGAATGGCAAAGGGCTTCCTATTATATGAACAAATTACATTTAAAACTAAGTATACCTACTTTTCGCACTTTGCTGCCTGCTGCCTTCAGCGATACTGGCGTGAGTACTTATATAATGTTATGTTGGTAGAACTGGTTCGTGAAAACGCCTATTACCTATAAGTGGGACACAATGTGTTACACTTGTTAAGGAAACTTCAATTATTATAATACACGAACGCAATACATCGTAAATATATATATGGAATTAAAATTCAACATTTCCTTGTATTCGGTGTTGGTTACGTGACATTATATACACTACAAACTTTAATAGGATTTTCAATGAACTGCAAATGGCTTTTTTAAATTATTTCTATTGTTTGTTTTGAAGATAAGGAACTAAAAAGTCGCAAAATTATTAGAAATCGACAAAACATGTTGTAAAGAAATTAAACTATTGTGGACTTTTATAATTCGAACCCAACGTCAACGTGACAAATTAGTAAATACCTATCTTACGTTTAATAATGAGCTCAACTTTGATAGTGAGAACACAGTCTAAACAAACTTCCATTTATTTTAAGAGGGGCCATAGTTCTTTAAAATAAGTAAAAATAGTAATTTTAATTATTCTATAGGTAATCGTAATAAAAATGCGTTGTTGCTGATAGGTAGAGAAGAATATTTTGTTTTCCTTAAAAATATGTAGGTAGCTATAAAATGAAAATGTACAAATTAAATATTAGGTAGGTATTTGTATTTCATTGATTTATTTAAGAACATCATCAAAATGTAGAATTCTAAATTAATATTTTAATTATCATCTGCCTACCCTTATCCCAATTTTATTTGGGGTCGGCGCAGTGAGTACCTATACAGTCCATCCACATTTCTTTGGCCTTCCTCTTCTCTTGTACCTTACAACTCCCATACCTAACACTTTCTTGGTCACATTTTCCTCATCCATCCCTCCTCATGACCATACAAGACATGTCCATACCAAGATAAGCTATTACTTGTTAATTTTTGACTGGCTTGTTTGTTTGTTCTGTCTGGGTGTACTTTATCTATAATATGTATGAATTTAGAAATATATAAGTATGTTTATCGGCAGTCTGGTTACCATAGTACAGGCTCTGCCTAGTTTGGGATCAGACGCCGGTGTGTTAAATGTGTGAAAAATATTTTTAAAAATATTATTATTATTTTCATCCATTGGATCGATACCACCCCAGGGATCGATATACGATCGAGACCCTCCAGCATCTACTTTCTTTTCACTTCTTTGTCGCGGCTAATAGCCAGCTTTAGGAAAAGTTTGCGCCGAAAACTCTAAAGCTGGCCGTCTCTCTCGGTACTCCTCATGAAGCCGGTTCTCCTCATCGTCTCCGCGGTGACGACGCTGAATGCGGATGTAGGACACGTGTACAGGCTGCACGGAGGTCTGCCAACTCTTGAAAAAACTTAAATTAACCCTATACCAACCCGTCTGGCCAGAGTGGTATAGTAGGTCAAAACCTCCTTTCTATGGAGAAGCCTATGTCCAGCAGTGGACTAGTAAAGGCTGTTGATGATAATAATTTTGTTGTGCCAGCCGTTTGAGTTATATAACCTAAGTATTTACTATCTGGCTTTATAATTAATAAAAAAAACTTCTTCAACGACTTATTAGTTCTCTATAGTATTTATTTGCCGCCTTTTTGTTGGTAACCAATGTTTTAATATTGTTTATCGCCGGTCGAAGTATAGAGAGCGGGCATTAAGGAAACCTGCCTGTTTACAACGTTTTAATCGATTAAGTATTTCTTATTGTTCTCTTTCTTTCTCAATTTTTTAAAAATTCAGATTAACCTTTAAACATTTAAACCTTTAAACATTTGTTAAAGTTAATTGTCAATGTAATAAGTTAAAGATAAAAAGTTACGAATCAATAAACCGGTACCTACGATACATCACTGCGTAAAAGAGCTAGTTTCATTATTTCAAATTGACACGTGCAAATGTCAAATTTAGAATTTGACATTTGCACGTGTCAATTTGGTCTACGGGATTAAAAAACAGACGAGATTTATATTTGCAACGTATTTAATAAAAAATAAAAATGATCGATACACACAAAACATTAATAAAAGGAATGCGATTCATTAGATTATGTTATATATATCTTAGTATTTATAATAAAATGATATTAAATATTGCAACAAATTATTATTATTCTTGATGTGTCATACGTAAGTAGGTATATATATGTTAGTAATTACATATATATCTCTGTTTGTATAAACAATAACACATCGATACATATGAGAATAAGTTGAGAAAGAATTCAAGTCTGTCAAAAATGTCTATTACCTATACATAACTCTTAAAATCGCAATACGTTTATTTTTTATTTACACAGATAAAATATAACCAGGTAGCAAGTTTTGCAGGAAGTACACGGCAGTAGCAAAAAAGCATTTTGGATCATATCATGTGCTAGTGAGCCTTACAATAGTCGATATTGTGTAACATCTAAAATCTCAGGTAACATATCTCAATTCAACTCCCGCGTTAGGAATATATATCTTGTGTCGCAGCGGACTTTAACATACATGAAAGGGACACAAAGTACACCCAGACTCAGAACAACAATCTGCGGCTCTCAGAAAGTGTCGACCCGTGTGAGAATCGAACCCACAACACTCAGCGCAGTAGTAAGCAGCGCTGCTACCGCTTAAACAACTACGCCATCCGTGCAGTTAGATGGACAACTCTAGCACCTCGCGTGCTTAAAGGACCCTGACTTCTTGTTACACACTTCCGTCCCTTTTCTCGAAATCACTTCTATAGATTACAAGTAAGAGAAAAGAAAGATATTACGCATGTATGTAATGTAATGTTTTATATTCACAGTAAAAATGTATTCCTTTGTCAAATCAAATACAGTAAGTATGTAACTGTTACAGCTACAGAATGTTCGTTTCATAATGTCTGCAGGAGATAACAATGTTATTGATTTTACTTAATGAGTACCTATATTTTAGTTATCTACAGTAGCAGTAGCAAAACCCCCCTTTGTTCTTAGATTATAATGATGATGGCAGAGATTGATTAAAGTACATAGTAGTGCATTTGGAACTTACCTACTCCTGAAGCTATCCCTCGATAAAGCGAGTTTCTGTTGACGATCCTTTGTATTTATTTTTAGTCCTTCCCTAGTTATTAATTGATATGTCGGGAACTTGATTTAAATAAGGAGCATTCTTGAATGTTAACTTAGGTATTTATAGTTTTAAAATAAAATGTTAAATTTAAACAAAGTATTAGTGATACATTTTAATATTTTCGAATTGATATCTCAAAACAGTGGATTGGCTTTACAACTTCCATTAAAAACAACTATCAAAGGTGTTGTTAATTAAAGTTGAAATTGAATTATTCTTTATTCGATAAGTATAACACGACTGTGGCGTGAAATAAAATACCTAGTAGATATTTCAGATTAGGTATCTTAACTGAGTATTTCTTAATACTTACTTAAATACGTTTTCATTACCTCACAATCGTATTTTATCCATCGTACCTACTTAGTCGATACACCTAGCAGGTAATTCTGCTCTATGATGAAGAATCCAATTTTACGTTCAATTTATGTTAACGAATATTTTTTTAATACGTAAGATATTGAATGTTGTTCAATGATATTATATACAAACAAGAAGTAGATACGCGACCGACGCCTAAAACGCGAGGGTCCTAATTAGGACCATTGCGAGCGAGCGCACGTTCTAATTAATTCTACAAAGTTCATAAAATGTCTTCATAAAATTACGACAAAAAGGTAAATAAAGATAAAGGAATATCCATACCACAGGTAAGTGTGTTTTGTTTTAAAATGCATTAATAGATAGTATGTACCTACTTAGGTACGGTTACAGAACAAATATTTTGTGCGGCGTGCAGTATGAATATAACGTATCTTCCTTAAAATATCATTGATCTTGTTATTATAATTTTACAAGCCTAACATATCTAACATTTAGCATACATTTCTCAATAATTACCTACAATATAAAATTATATTTTTACAGACATTAATATGTATAACATTTATTAAGTACATTTTTGGATATGATTACATTAATAAATAGTCACCAGTCTTAGTGAAAGAAGGTGAAAGAAGAAGAAGGAATAGGTATGTAGGTATAACACCATAAAATTTTACATTTTACTTATTCACGTAAATTCTTACCTTCGCAATTTACATTACAAATGCGGTACATACTTTTAGGACTAATTAAATAATACTTATATCACACATTATAAGTAGAACCTATTAATACTTATTACCTTTCTTGTACATTTTTTATACACAAACCATTTCATCTCCATACACAAGTACCTATTTATTATCTTTGATTTTGCTAAAGTATATTTTCAAAGACATTTTTTTAACCAATGAGAACCATTTCAAAGTTCAAAAAGTTCTTACTTGGTCCACTTCCAAAAAATAAAATGTTCAAAATTCAAATATTATGGCGCGAAATTCAAATTTACGAACATGAAGGACACGACGAGTGTTGTTCCTGCGTTGGGTGCGCGCGCACCGCCATCCTCGAGGGGTCGACGGGGTTCGCTTTTGCTACGAGAGAGCGGGCAACGTGAGCAAAGGCGGCTTCAACGTTCAGTCCGGTTTTAGCTGATGTCTCCATAAACGCTACTTGGTATTCCCTCGCTAAGCGTTGGCCCTCCTCCCGCCTCACCGCTCTCTCTAAGCCGCTGTCGGACTTATTACCTGCAATGAGCAACAATTGTTTGTAAATTTTATGAAAGAAGGCATGGAGCGTCTTCGCCTGCGTCTCTCAAAAGTAATAAGTTTTCCCATTTTTGTAACATTTTTCATTGATGCTTCTATAGGTCTTACCGTAATATTATGTAACCTCTAGCCTTCCTGGATAAATAGGTTAGGCAACACTTAAAGAATTTTTCAATTCGAACCAGCTGTTCCTGAGATTGGTGCGTTCAACCAAACGAACAAACTCTTCAGCTGTATACTTAATATTTCTGATGCTACATTACTTACCTAGGAGCATAATGACTACGTCGTCTTGAGCATACTCTCGAATCTCCCCAAGCCAAGCACGTATGTTGTCAAAGCTGATTTTGTTGGTCACGTCATACAGGAGGAGGAGCGCTGGCAAAAAGATAATTTATTGCAATTAACTCCTTCAGACGCGAGAAATGTAAATAAATTAATTTACTAGATTAAAAATGTTAAATATAGCATTAATAGATATTATTGCTCAGAAATTCTACCTACCTATGCCTTAAGTATATACATGGAAATCTTATATCTGAATACCTACGAATAAGTAGATTGTCAAAATTACTAGCAGGCGAAAGCTAGCCAATCACAAATGGGATTTCTCTTTGCCTTTTACAACCTTTGTCTATTACCTACGCGTCTATAATTCCCTATTAAATGGCTGTAGTTATTGTACATTTTTTTTTCGCCAACCCAGCATTAAGCTAGCCTGGCTAGCGACTGACGGTAATTAGTAGTAAGGTACACCTTATTTAACTCATAAAATACTTGGTCAGTGGTGCATAATACGATAGTAATAAAGTTCTATGATGATATGATGTAAATTGATGTGTCTGGCTCTTGTCTAGTAAGGCCCAATCTAGTTTCACACGTGTTCTAAAGCGTGAGCCGGTTTGAAGTTGGAAACAGGTCGAGGTCAGCTCTGTCTGTATCAATCTATCAATCCTGTCAAACGAGCACAAATACAGACGAATTACAACTTGGAGGCAGAAATAATCTGTTTATTTACCAATCAATACAAATGTGACAAATCGCAGACAAATTTATTGTCTTTTTAAAAGTGAAATTTTTAAAAAACAATAAATTTATAGCAGTGAGAACGAGATGGCGTTACTAGTAGTTAAAATGAAGACAAGATAAGTTTGTGTGTAAAAACAATCACATTATGTTCGTGTCATTTATTTTATGAGGATTATTTAAGTTTTTCATGATTTATGATATCGTTAATTATAAACACAAAAATTACCATGCGCGTCTCGGTAATATGCATGTGTCACGCTACGAAAGCGCTCTTGTCCGGCCGTGTCCCAAATCTGAAGCTTCACCTTTAAGCCGTCCACTGTTACTATCTTATTCTGCGAACAGATGGCGTTACTTGTATTAATTTCTACGTGAATAACTTAAAACTGCAATTCTATTTCTATGGCAATTAAAATAAATTATACTAAATTACAACATGAAAATATACCGTAGGTTTCTAAATAAGAAAATGCATTTGCATTTACAATATGAATTTAAATAATAAAATTGACCTTTTAAAAAAAGTACTTATAGTTAGTACAACAATCAATAAATGAAAAGTAAGCTTTAAACTGTAACAAATCCTTTTAAATCTGTCTCTTAGGTATAAAAAATAAGAAGGTCAGTACACTGCTAGTGTCTACCGCAATCTTAGCAAAAAATAGATAATTTGGCTTAAGTTGCTTTTTCTACAATGACAGCTGTAATAAATCAAACTGCTAACCAAGCATTAAAAATAAACCTTTGCAACAATAAATCACTCAGGCGAGTATTCGATTCAATCACAGCTGTCATGGGCAAGGGGCGGGAACGGAAAAAGCGCGCCAAACTTCGAACACCAATGGCGTGCGGGGAACGCACCGCCAGCAGCCACTCACTGGCCCATTTATACTTAGAACCCTTGGCGGTCATTAATTACTTTTTTGCAAGAATTAAAAATAATAATGGCATCACGACTTTTTGCCGCCATTATTGAATTTTGATGAAACCTTTTTGTTGAATTGTGTTGCTGTTGAATTTATATGTCGCACCTTTATTCATAAACTGAATTAACTTAGAATTTCAATATTGTGGGAAATCGCATTTAAAGTTTGACATTCATGTACGTGCGAGTTCGTCAAAAAGAGAACGACGATCTCTTATCTCTGCCATTTTCATGGTATCGAGTCGGCTGTTGGATTGTTCGTATTCTACTGATGAAGTTGATTTGGTATTTGTTGAAAACTCGAAAAACGTAAATTTTGAATTAATTCAGTTTATTATTAAAGGTGCGATGTATCTACCTACTTACTTTGATTTTTAAGTAAGAATGGGATTGTAGTTTTGGATCCAGTTTTTGAATTTGACGATCTAGCTACTTAGGTACCAATTGGCAGGCATCTACTCGAATCGAGGACCTAGGTATCAGAGCGCCCGCGTGCAGTGCCGACGAGACCGCCTTTTTTCATGCTAAAATCGCCCTTTATTTTAATTATTTCTGATCAAGTTCTTTTATCCTTATTTTAATGAGTGTAGAAATTGTACTACTTAATTTCGATACAATCACACCAAAGCACGTCGTGGCCTACCGCGGAACGCCGCAGCATGTCGTGTCATGCGGCTTCATTCTACAGATTATCATGCCATCGTGTCCTGCGAGAGTTTTGTGTCCTTTTGTTACAGAATTATGACACCTTCCCAACCCTCCGAATTTAGGGTGGGAGCGTTTGGGCCCCTGTAATCTAGCTCATTTGATGAAAAGCAACAAAGGAAGGTTTTCCGTGGCGAAGGCCGTGGGGACACTTTGGTCGAGCCGCCTCATTAGTGCCGAAGCATGACTCTCTCACGAAAGAATATTTTTTCTTCAATGTATCAATTCGTATTTCTTCATCTTCAGGTTATAAGCCCCACCTGGTCCTACTCCGCCCTCTCCTTAGTGAGCGTAATTTGCTCGTAAATTTGAAGGAAAAAGAGTTAGAGGAGATTTAATCGCGCTCGTTCTGTACCATTACCGCAACCAGTGACCTCGTGGTCATAAGTTTGCTCCACACACGCCGGGCATTCTGCCAGCGTACGAGTATGAAGCGTCGTGTACACGCTCTGTCCATTGCAGTGGTGGCACCCAGGCGTTGGCTCTTTGCGAATCAGACACAGGTCATCTTCAAAACATCCTTTGCGTCAGACGGTATCAGAGGGTCCCGTGTTACCTCTCGAGCCAATCTTCCATAACGGGTCTTACCGCCGCAATAACGGCCTGCCAGGATTAAGCCGCCTCTTTCGCCTGGATTGGGATATTTGGCAATAGCGCACCCGCCTCTTGAGTGATTCAAATTAAACATTCTTAGGTACGTTTAATAAACTAATTCGAAGCTTATAAAATAGTACATAATAATAATATATTAGACATTTATGAGAATGTTTCGTTTTCGTTACGATTTCTGTTTTTTTCTGCTGCCCTGAAAAATGCCCTTGTGCGGTGCACGCTCTACACACCCGCACAAGGCGGCACTGCCAGGTATATTCAGTATTCTTTTGTACCGAAATAGATATACCTAAGACAGTGACAACGATATAATCATATACCTAGTTAATAATTATATCTTATGTAAACAATTTTTGCAATAAAACGCTAATTACTTAGATGCAGGTAGGTAAACATAGAAATATGAAGAAAAAGAATAAGAACAACTAATTACATATGGAGAATATTTATTTATTAGTTGAAACGAAAGTATTATGAACAAGCGCTTATAAAATACCTGTTCGACCTAGGCATTTGTTTTCAAAAGCCTACCTTCGTATGAGATGGGATTGGATTGCTAGGTAAGGACCGACCGACATTTAAGTTGAAGGTGTCACTACTACCAAATACGTAACTATGTAAAAAAATCATGCCTGGTTGTTTTTTCACAATTAAAATAAAAGGTATAGGCAGCATCGGCTCGTGAATTGAGGGTGTGGTCGCTCTAGCCGCCAGGTGGCACGAAAAAAAGTGGATGGCAAAAATAATTTCCACCGGCAAAGTTTGATGGAGTCTTCGCAGACGCTTTGGGGTGCTCGGATAACTTTAAATTAGTTACCTATTACAATTTTATTAATATTAGGTATTAGGTCAAAGATTGTTAGAATGGATCAATGCGTGTTTTCTCCTCTTTCGCGCTTAGGTAAATGGTTTTTGATTACAGCTTATTATTGCCATATATTTAACACGTGGGATACTTACTCTTTTATATTAAGTTAAAAAAACAAGAGTTACCTAAATAAATTGGAAATAAGTAGGTTTAGTATTTGATTTATATATAGTTTTGGCTTTAAAAAATTTAATTCAAGTTGGGTTTTGAAAATTAGTTAGGTACCTAATCTTACTTATATTTTTAGGGAGTTATATAAAACTACGATACTAAACTAATATACATTAAAAAAAGCCTTACTTAAGAGCTAGATTAGGTGGTACCGAAAACTCATACCTCTAAATTTAAAAAAACTGACGAAACGAAAACGATGACAAATAGGTTTTTTTTTCTACTCCAGCTAGAACAGAGCTGTTAAAAACGTTTGTAAATACCTATGTACTTGAAATACCTAAAAAATGTAATCAGGTAAGTACTTTCGATAAAAATAAAAATGGCAAAGGTGAATCAGGAAGGTAGTTCCTATAAGATATTGAAGTTGTCTTGTACTCATGTAGGTATAGATGTTGCTCACTGTACCCGGAAATCAATGCCGACTGTAGATATGTAGTTTCCTGCCAAGAACGTGCCATCACGGAAGCGAACTAGCATGCAGGTCTTGCCAACACCACTATCACCTAGTAGCATAACCTGTGGAGTAAAAAAACTAGTTTTAAAAATATTAACATTGTTTTAAAAGGCGTATTACGAACCAAAATCGGCAGAAACGCAAGTTACTCATGTGATTAAGGAAATAATGATTATGGTGGCAAACAAACATAGGCGAAGTGAAAATTATGTAGATACGATTCCTATCAAATGTTATTTTGAACAATAAAATGTCATTAATTTACAAACAATTGTATATTGTTTTTTTTTAAGTCTTGTACTCAGCTTAGTATGGCGTCGCAGATACGTACCTATTTAACCCCTCAAACATATTACTAAGATACGATATCAAACATCAAAGATCCGATACTAAATTTATTTTAACTAGGAACAAGGTAACATGGGGTGGCGTGGGGATTTCCTTTGGATGCCGTAATCAGGGCTGCCAAAAGAGATAACTCATTTTATACGCCCGAAACGTTGCTAAAAAGTTGTTGAAACTTTTGAAAGCATTATTGTCTACGAATAAGGTAGAGAGAGGACCTTGTGAACATAGTCGCCACAGCGGGTGTGGGCTGCTTTTAACTGGACTTCTTAGAAGTCAATGAGAGAGGTCTATGTCCAGCAGTAGACGTCCTATGAGTGATATGTATGATTGAGCATGTATGATTTACATTGTAATAAAAATGTACACAACGGTACTACCTAATTATAGAAGATAATATGTTTATGATACTAACAGGATACAAGGATCTTACAGATTTTATATCTATGCAATGTGGCAGCCCTGGCGCTAATGAACGAAGGCTGGTTATAAATCAATTGTAACTAAGCCATATTAAACATCTTTATATCGCTCATCATATAGTCGCTCATCCAAAAGTTATGTACATAAGTTTTGGATGAGCGACTTATTTCAATTATGTACTTAAATTTTTTCCTACGGTAATAATAATAACTACATTTTCCTGTTCAAGTTTCTCATTGAGACGATTAAAATTGGGACTAAATTGATGTTGACTAGATATTAACTGTGGTCCGTGTGGTAACGGATTAAGAATACGGAGTGTCACCACCCCTATTCATCTCGTGGCTGTCCTAAAAGCCGACTAAGGGTGCAAACTACGCAGGACAACAACACTGCAAAGGGAAGGAAAACTTGAAACAAACCCTATAAAGACGACGGGTAGCGTGGTATAGTAGGCCAAAACCTCCTTTCTAAGGAGAGGCCTATGAGTTTTACACCTACTTATAATGTTTAGAGAAACTAATAACATCCTGACTACTAACTTTGAGTATTAAATAAATGTAAAAAAATACGAATAAAACCTTTACGTTACATATTTAATTAGATGTGACTTTATTTTTGGTCTGCAAGACAAGTGAAAATTAGTTTGCTTAATTTTCTTAAATTGCCTAAAGCCACCAACTTACTAACAACAAACACATACTGCGTGGACCACCACATCGTATGTCTTTCGTACTGAAATTAGTTTTTTTATAATGTTGATGTATCAAAAAATATTTTGTTTTCCTTAACTAAACAGTCGCTGTTATTATAATAATATATTTAATATATTTATTTATTTATTACGAACGTTGGTATAGTTTAAAAAGAATTGAGAGTTTGTAGAAAACGCTCTTGTACTCATTTCTTATGACCAGAACATTGCCACCATTCCACAATCAATATTCTAACAACACTGCACTGTGTTGCGTTCCTTAGTGTCAACATTTCCCAGAGTCCCACAAGGATGTGCTGGACTACCAACGAGATACAAAGTGCCGGTGCAAAGTATTTTCAAAATGTTCGGTGTATGTAACTCATAATGCCATGTTTATTTTCCACCTTAATGCATAGCTAAATTTACAAGTTACTTAGATATGTTAAAATGAATGCTGTTTTCAGAAACCATTTTGCATACTTTTAAAGATATCGAATATATTCAGCTATTGATACAAATTTGAATATAGGTACATAGCTTGCCTTCCTGCCTTTTATCAGCTAGAACATTTGTCTGAAACATCTATAAATGCTTAGATAGAACGTTTAGAATCTGTTGATATGCAAAAGAAAAATACTCACTTTTCCAAATACATCGTATTTGTCGTCTTGCTTATTGTGCTGTTCCCATGTGTCCGTTGGTGACGGCGGTTCACTATGTGGCATCACTGCAATGCCTTGTTCACTCTTATCGTCATCTTCTCTTGCTTCTGGAAGGTTCCTGGCCCAGGTAGGCCGAACCCTGCCAACTACTACACGTTTTTCCATCTGCCTGTTTTGCGCTGTGTTTGGATTCCACATTTTTGGAAACTGATTGTAAAACTTCACTTAAGAGCCTATTTATAAAAGTTTTGTGATACATAAATTATATTTTTCATGTTTTGTTGTCTTTGTTTTTTAGTCCACTTGTATTATATAGATTTTCTCACTTCACTTTAAAGAATGTCTTTTAAACACGCCGGGTTATGCTGTTTATAAACCTATTGATCGAAGTTTTGAGAGTGCCTTTATTTACATTTTTTATACTATTTTTAGACTGCTAAAAAATAGTAATATAATAGTAATATAATAGTAATAGGAATAATATAGTAATAGTAATAGGTATAACAATAATAATGGGAACATTAAGTAATTACTATTAAACCAGTTACTATTTAAACAAAAAAAAATAGTTACAAATAAAATAGAATCGTGTGAAATTGGTTCTACAATTTAATTTAGGTTCATTGAAGCTACCAAAATCTGAGACATTTTTTACTGCGAATCTGTCGAGCTGAAATTGATTAATTGTCGAATAGGTTTTTGTTCGCTAAAATGTAGTTTTTCTATCCATTTTCTAGGTTTTAAAATGTTAAGTAATCCCTATAACCTTATCTTTACCTCTGTAAAAGTACCTATATACTTTGTTACGTATATACTTCATTATTTGTATGAAACGTTAATCACAGGAGCACTGACTATTCAAACAAACTTATCCAAATTGAGTCAGAACGCAATTAATTAAGTTCCAGTAGAACCCACAGACGCGGCATATCAATTTGTAAGTTAGGAGACAACTTTAATAGACAGTGGTAATTCTGAAACTACGAGTTTTAATTCTGTTTATATATACTAAAGTTTCATTAAGCTTTAAGTAAGTTTTTTTTGTGCTTAAATAAAAACCATACCTACTTGATTGCTTTTGGCCACGGGAGTATAATTTAATATACTTTTTCTTTACAATTATTGGATAACATAGCTTTGCTTCTCTAGGTTAATGAGATTTATTGCAGTTCTTTTTATGTTTTACCTTCGCTGTATCTAATCAATTTTGTAGAATGTGATCAGTAATACAACTTAGCATAAATATTAACTGTGCATTGAGTTATATATTAATATCAACTATTGGAACTAGAATAACGGAGGTAAGTATATACCTAATAACTACTAACATAACTAACACTAACTGTGAAATTTGAATGAGACTCTAAGACAGACACAAGTCATATGTATTTCAGCAACAATAATAATTAACCGTGGTATGTTTTATTTATTTGAAATGTGTTTTAGAGGTGTGACTTTAACAATGTTTAGTAATTTTTCTTATATGAAAAGACGACTCCCGCACTAGGAATATGATCCTGTGTCGTGGGGGATTTTACAAACACACATTAAACGGACACAAAGAACACCCAGACTCAGGACAAGAATTTGTGGACCACACAAAGTGATGTCTCATGTGGGATCGTGATCGAACCCACAATACTGAGCGCAGTAGAAAGTGGCGAGGTGACCGCTTAAACCACTACGCTATTTGTGCATTCAAGTAATGGTTATTTCTAATTCGCTATTTACTTACTTCTCGAAGCGGCTTATAGTTTGGAATATATTTATGTCATGTATATATGTTTGCTTAGGTCTTATTGGCTGTGACAAAGTTTATACAGTTATGATATCCCCATTTATGTATCTATGATATCCTTTAAGCTTAAACAATTTGTCATCTTGAATTTGAGTTCGTAATGTCAATATTACTGGCATCTGGAGTTTGTTTACTGTTTGTTTGTTTGTTTTTGTTTCTTTTAACTTTTTAGTTTTGCCATCTATCGATGAATAGCAGACGTCTGTGCGTTGATCCATCTGTCAGTTTCTTCTTTTATAGATATATAGATAAACATGTATTGTAGTAGTGGTATCCAATTTAAATAAAATTTAAGTTTTAAATAAATAAATATTTATCAGTTAAAAAGTTTTTTCGAAACCTTTGTTTTTATTGTTTTAATAGTGTTCCACAATAATTATTACTTAAATGAAAACCACTATATTACAAAAGGTGTTAAGTATTTTTTTGAACAAATAATGTTTTTAACTATTTCAATGTTAGATACTTTTTTGCAAATAGGAGAAATGATGATGAGATGTTACCGTTCGTATGAACGGTAACATCTTTAAATAGTATTAATTAATACGTAAGTTCTTTATTTTGAGCCTATACTTTTGAAGGAGAGGCTTATGTCCAGCAGTGGACTATTAAAGGCTGTTGCTAATGATGATGATGACATATGTTTAGTTAGTCTCCAAAGGACGGAAAATACTCTTTGATAAAACCTACAAGTAAATTCTATTGACCACAATCAGCATTATGGGCATTAGGTAAGTCAGCCAGTTTTTCACTAGACACCTGTTAAGAATGTTATAGAGAACGATACTTCCTGCAGACATGACTATATAAGTTCATTGTAAGGGTGTTTAGGGTGCGAATAAACTCTCACAACTTCTAGAGTTTTATCGCTCACTTGTTGCTTCCTTCTCCTTTATTAAGCTTTAGTACGTCATTTTAACCAGCAATAATATAGTGTATTTTTAGTTGAATAGAGGCATCGACAACACAGCTCTTTAAGTCACCCAAATAAATACCTACAACTCTCGTAATTACCTGATTTAGTTCAAACTTAAAAAAGAACAAATAAACCTTTCTAACAAACAACTCCTAAGTGACAAAATAGAAAACAGATAATACTGAGTCCATCTTTATTTACCTGTTTTCTAATGTTTTCAAAATGTTGTGAGAAGAAATCGAGCAATTAAACGGGAATATTGCCGTAATAAATCTTATGCCATTAAAGTACGAGTATAGCCGGACCTCTAACGCTGATGTGTCTGGTTTATTAAGCGCGGCTACTCGACTACAGGCAACTCTCTAATTCACACTCAAAGGGTGGCAAAGCAGTTGTGTCTATTGACCTGCAAGTGTCCATGGGCGGCGGTAGTCATTTACCATTAGGTGACACATCTGCTCATTGAAACGAATGAGATCAAGCATCCATCCAAAAATAGTGTATTGACCGAGCAAGGTTCTTAAGGTTATAAGGATAATTAAGGTTTCTTCTGACAATAGATAGCTTACAAAGTAAAATTGGCCGTACGCCCATTTTTTTTTCTAATAATATCCATTAAGAAAACCCTATGTAAACATTTTATGTCTACTTATAAATTGTATCCACTGTTTACTTCACTCAGCTCCTTTAAAAGGGGGGAGTCATGAATCTGTAAGTAAACCGTAGTGATTTTCTGGCCTCCTTCGAGGGATCACACTAAGCTGTTTATATTCATAAGAAAATCTTTTACTAGATGTCCCTTGGTGGCTTTTAAAACCCTGTCTCATATAGGATAAAAAGGTAACACAACTATATTATAGGTTTTTTGCAGTACACTTTCTGTTTACGTTTAAGTAGATTTACATATTTTCGATTTAGAAATATTGTATAAAAGTTGTTAGATTATTATTATTATGTCTATATTCTTGAAAGCAAATATTATTGTATTATAGTCGTCACCAGACCGAACACTAAAGTGATAGTTATATATTTCTACTGTAAAAGGTTTCGACTTAAGGAAATTTTGTAGTGAATCCGCAATAACATAAAAGACATAGCTGTTTTGTTGTTTTTTTTTGTATGAGGGACTTGTGGTTTGAGTTTCGTTTCGTTCGTTTTTGCATTCCCTAGTTTAATCTGTCGAAAATAGTTACGAGTGAGGTTAATTTATTAAAAAACGACTTAAATTTAGCCTTTATAGGTAAACTAAGCAAAACAAGGCCCGGGCATAAAATTAAATATCAGTATGAGGAACAGCTGTGGAAAGAATCTTACCTTACAAAAGATGGCAAGGACTAGATGTAGGCAGTGTGTTATTTTGAATTCTAGTGATCACTGATCAAAGCTCCATGTCTATATTGGCGTTGCACGATTTAAATTGAATCATCAAATGTTTATTAAACAACTAGCTAACAGTTGTTGAGGGGATATTATAATTTCTCATCACGTACATGTAATTAGAGATCGCCTTACGTTTAAATGGTTGCTTCGCTTGTGGATAGAAGCGTTACATTTTTTTAAGAAGTACTATTCTGAATGACGCGGGCAAACGCTAATAATGTACATAATTAATAAAATATCATCACGAGATAAGCAAAACGTCTAAAATCGCTGGCATTTAATTTTATTTATTGGATTATACTGCTATATCATCATTGTTTATATCAACATTCTGAATAGTTATTGATTGTACTGCCAATTTGGTGACACATGAGACACATAGCCGCGTTATCAGGATTATTTCATTATTTACGAATCACAATCAAGATCTAACTATTGTTTTAAAAATCATATTAAATTGAAAGTTTACGATATTATATAGATAGTTAAAGATAATAATATATTATGTTAAGAGTCGTCGTATTCGTTGGAGTGTGGTGCCTGTTGCGGTGGTCGCTCTGTGGATCCTTTTTATTAATAGTTAAATTAAATATACCTAACATTGTATCCAGTTTTCCCTATTGTTAACTTAATATGGTGGTTATACATTAGCCTATTTTGTTCTAGATAAAGTTTTTTCGCTAAAGTGACAACGACACGACTTTAAGCAAAGCATAAATAAACGAGTTTAATGGTAACAGGGAAAGCTGATATTTTTTTGTCACTCAGGTACTTAAACGTTTGTCAGTTTCGACGCATAGGTACATACATTAATAGCTCTCACAAACATTCTACCTAATATTTATAACTACAGATCATCTAGTAAATTCGATTATATTTTGCAATTTAACATTTTATGGTTTACCTCATTCGCACAGTACGACTTAAACTATTATTGCATAAATCTAGAAAGATTTAGATATATACCGTGACAGTTCGACATAATAATATAGCCTGTAGCTTTATGTATGAAAAATTACCTAATATCAGCATAGGTAGGTAGTTTTTACCTTCGTATATAATTATAGTTTT